ATCTGGAGGGGCAGAGTTTGCCTATGCCTGGACTACAACTTCCATCAGCCCTAGCCAGCATGGCCAATGGTCAGGGATGATGGGAGTTGTAGTCCAGGCCCCATGTTCCCTACCCCTGCTGTATCTTTTTTTCTTAAAGAGCCTCTGCCAGTTAGAGCAAACAGGACTGGGCTAGATGGACAAACAGCCTGATGTGGTATATTAGAGCAGCTTCCTATGTTCCTGTGCACAGTCCTAGTGCAATTTCCCTGCCTCCAGACTCCCTCTATGCTACATTATGAAATGCGGCTAATGCTGACTGCAGAGCTCAGTGACAGATTTATGTATAAGCTAAACAAGCTTTAGCTGAGGCCCCCACTCTCTTGGGGCCCCCCAAAAAATTTAAAGGAAAAAACCTGTATGTACATTTCCAAAATATAAGATAAAAAAACAGCAACAAAACCTACATACAGCAACAGTGTTTTGTGTTGTGTAGGCTCCTATGATGTAAGTCATAGCCTGCTAGCCTGCTCCCTAAAATATCACAGGTTTGCCCATTTCTTCTATATACAGTGGTACCTGTAAAAACAGTGACAATTTGTTGTTGACAAAGGACAGCTGGACATATAAAGGGCCCCATTACCTTCAGTAGCTGAGGGCCTCATCAAACTAAATTCGGCCCTGGCAGAGCTCCATCATCAAGCAGTTTAAGTGATGAGAAAGTCACTTGAATGAGATGCCAGAAGCAGCACCAGCTTGGCCAGCAGATGGCGCCAGAGGGATGACTTGTGTTATTTCATGCCCTGATTAAAGGCTGGCATTTGTGATTCTGCAAAAGACAAGGCTTGCTTGCCCCTTTGTGTGACACTGGGATTTTCCACAGTGGTCTGCCCTCAAAGCAAACAAAAAAAGAGAAAAGAACACAAGATGGACACAATGGGTTGCTTCCTTGGCCGGTTGCTTCCGATGTTCCTTGACGTCCTCTTAACCCCGTGTCTCTGTGCGTGCTCTGAATCGAGGGAAGCCAGTGCCGGCTGCTGGTGCCTATTGAGACTGGCTGGGCAGAAGGCAGGGAGACCCACAGCAGTTGGCACCAGAACCAGGATTGGCAGAGCCAACAGATTCCAGTTTTGCCCCCATTATCTTCCTTGCTGAGCTCTTAATATCTCTTTTAATCTCAATATTGTTACAGATCTGGGGTAACAGAGTTTGAGGGTGCAAGGGAACCCATAACTGCTAGAGTTAAGGGATGTTAGAAATTAATAAATGGTAGAATTTAGATGCTATTTGGAGTATTGAAGGCAAGGTGAACTCCATGTGTGGCTGGGAAGGCCAGAACCATCTTAGCAGGCTGGGGCCTGGTGCAAGGGTCAGAGAGAACTCACTGAGGACTGAACAGTTGTGAGCCCAGGAATTTGTTTTAAATATCAGAGCTGAACTGAACTCACAGTCATTCTGCACAAGAATCCACACCTGGTGACCCCCTCCTTCAGATTTCTTCATTTCAGTAGTATAAAAGGGGGTGGGATACAAGTTCTAGTTGCTATTGTTAAACAGCTGGAGGCAAGAGAACCCAGTCACCTTGCACATTTTCTTCAAATCACTCAGAGATCCTTTTCTTTTTTTTTTTTAAAGAATATTTATTCCAATTTTAATATTACATGGAAAGAAAAAAACAAAAAAAAGAAAAACAGATCACATACACCCTACAAGAAAAAAAAAAGAACAACACACGATACAGAAAAAAAATACAAAAGACAAAAAATCACAATACAAAAATAACAAAAAATCAAATTAAACCGTTTAGATCATTTTCCATTTACTTATTTCCAAGACTTCCTCTCACTTCTCTGCTTTGTATTCTAATTTAAATCGTATCTCCAGCAAACCCTTCTAACCTTCTTTTCATTTACTTAATTTAACATTCAAAAATATTTAATTCTCTCTATTTTTTATTTTACACTACATATTTACTTATTCCATTATACTCTGTCTGCTAATACGATCTAATGCTCTTCTCCAACCTTTTCTAACATTCTTTTATGTTACAGTATTTCTGAAGATATGTTTTAAATTTTTTCCAATCTTCTTCCATCGACCCTTCTTCTTGATCTCGCTCAGAGATCCTTTTCTGACTTCCACAAGATCAAGGAAATAGAATAAGGGCAAGAGGAGCATTGAGCTATCCAACTTCTTTGGCTTGAGGAATTGAAGCAATTTCCTCTATTTTTGCACATTACTTTCACACATATTTCTATGCACACATCTACCCTTTGTACATGTTATTTGGCTGGAGAACTGCAGTGCAAAATTTAGGGATGCCCACATTTTGGAGGATAGCTGTGTTTTGGTTCACATTCCTGTTTTGGGAACTGTGGATTGGGCAGGTTGGCCTTTAAGTGCAAACATAATCAGAATCTTTTCCTGTCCATAGTAGAGAAAATGTGCCAGTAAAGGATGGCATTCTTTTTCTTCTTCTTCTTCTCCAAACCTCCTTTAGAATATCAGGAATGTATACCATATGTTTGTGCCTTTGTTTTCTTTTTTAATTGGAAGCATTTATTTAATTCTGGAACAAAGATCACTTGGTGAGGAATAATGAACTAAAATATTTAGGCTCCAAAGAGAAAGGAAATTGCTTAATTTCTCCCTGACGTCCTTTTGTGGGGTGTGTGTGCACACGCTGGGATTCTCAACATGATAGGATCTAAATAAAACACAACCTCAAAGAATTAGCACAACTAGGGGAAAATGCATCATTCATTAGGAACGATTAAATTCCATAGATTTCCATGTGTCAGCCCCCTCATCCTTCTTCCACCCCCTTTAACCATGCACATGTTTGAAAATGAGCAACATTCTCCATCTCAGCTCCGTACCCTGGGGAGGTATGTAAGGCATGAGCAAATGATTAGGAGCCGGCATTCTGCGAGAAGCAGCTCTGGAATACTTTGGGCACTGAGGACATGGCAAAAGTATTCACCCTGGTGGCTGGTTCCAGACACTGGTGACTTTGATCAAAAATGCTGCTCAGATGAGACTGTTTCCCTGTCACGCATACCTCACCTTACGCTGCGAGTGCTCCTACAGTTAAGGCAACTAGCAAAACCCGGGTTCCAGCACTGTACCTCTTGGGATTCTCCAGCTTATAAAAATGGCACCTGCTGCATTAACAAGTTGAAATGTGGCATGCATGATCTACTTGATGACGTCTACTAAAGTACAAAATTTCAAAATGATTCAATAAAAGCGGCCACAGGTACAGCAAGTTTAAAATTTAACCATTTTTATGGAGTTATTAAAAAGCATTTCATAAATTTCTTTCCAGTTTTAGTGAAAACCACTTTATTCTGGATAGTTGGTCTTTGGTTTGGTGAAGCAACTCGATGCAACTCAAAAATTATTAACGTTTTCCTACCCAGTTAAAGTCTCTGGAAAACAACTATTGGCAAAATAGTGTTGTGGGTGCCTGAAAACAGAAGTGAAGCCAAAGCCGTCTAGCTGATGCCATGTGCAGTGACTTTTCCTCTAGTTGTGAAATATTATAGTGAGGTGCAGTGGCTACAGCAAGGCTCTCCAACCTTTGTGGGGCCATTTGGAAACCTTAGAAAATGTCAAGGAAGAACCAGGCCCCATAACCATGCCCCCCACTGCATCTCTCCTATCCCATATGACAATGTTTGGCAGTGGTTGAATGAGAGGTCACCAACCCATTAACGTCAACAACAAACAGGCATGGGTCAACCCATAAGAAGATTCCTGTTCTTCATAAGGCAGCAGAGGACCAGGATAACGTGGGACATCTTGCCTGGTCCCAGGCCCTCCATCCTCCCCATCTGGCTATGGGCCTGAAAGGCAAAGGTCCACAGAAGGTAAGTTGTGGCAGGCATAGCCTTGCCAGTTAGCTCTGTTGGTTACAGCACAGTACTGATAACACCAAGGTCAAGGGTTTGAATATGGGTGCATATTCCTGCATTGCAGGGGGTTGGACTAGATGATCCATGGGGTCCCTCTAGGATTCTATGAATAAGATTGTGATACTGCATTATTGCTAATCACGAGGCATGTCTGTTAAGGTATCAATTCCCAGCTTTGCAGAGCTTGGACTACATGAGAGAGTCTTAACTCTATTCTTAAAATGGCAGTTTGTTTGCTTTAAAAAAAAATTCTCTCTCTCTCTCTCTCTCTCTCTCACACACACACACACACACACACACGAGAAACAAAAACACCCAGCATTTTTGTGCTATATATAGCTTTGCTGCACGGGTGTTCATGTGCGGTCGTTTCTGATACATCTACAGTATTTCTAGGTTGTGGTGTGACCGACCCCACTGCCCCCAAACAGAAGGGTGCTTTATCCACAGAAGCCCTCAAAAGCATAGATGCTATTTAGACAAATGTGAAGTTTACTGTTCTGTAAGCACAGGCTTAATGGCTAAAAAAGAAAAGGAAAGTGTATTTAGGTTTGGGTGTCTGGTGCCACCACCTTCCATTTCAGAGGAGGGTAAACCTCTGGCAGATACAGCCACTTCACCCCCTTGTTTAATTCATTTGTGGTAACCACAAGCTCCCTCAAATAATGGGGAGAGGAGAAGAAAGCAAATAGAAAGCAAATTGTATTGCCACATCCCTTGAGTTGAGGAATGTGTGCTCCCCTTGGGTGTATGCATTCCCCTTGTTCCCACACCCATAATTACAGCCATGGAGGTCCACAGGACCCCTCTGGAGAAACCAGCTTGAATCGTATGCACGGCACAAAGAGATCTTGAAATATGGATAGGAACACAGGGAACTGCCTTGTTTCAAGTCAAACCACTGGACCGTATAGCTCGGTACTGTCTTCACTTCCTGACAGTGACTTTCCAGGGTTTCAGACATGGATCTTTTGCAGCCCTAGCCTAAGATGTCAAGGCTTGAACCTGGGACCTTAGGGACATAGGAAGCTGCGTTATGCTTGTCTCCACTGACTGCAAGCAGCTCTCCAGTGTTCCGGGCCAAGATCTCTCCAGACCTTACCTTGGAGATGCTGGGGATCGAACCTGTGACCTTCTGCATGCAAAACAGATGCCCTGCCACTCAGCTACGGCCCTTCCTGCAGCTATGGCCTGTAGCATTAGCTGCTTTGCATGTGCCCCAAACAAAGCACAACAGTCCAGGGAGTGGCTGTAGTTCATTGGTAGAGCATCTGTTTTGCATGCAGAAGGTCACAGGTTCAATCCCCAGCATCTCCAAGGTAAGGTTTGGAGAGATCTTTTCTGTCTGGATTCTCACTGTTTGAATTATGGCAGCCCTACCCTAAATCCACCTCAGGTCTCGGGTTCGATTCCTGACATCTTGTGGCAGGGCTGGGAAAGATGTCTGTTCGAAAGATGCTGCCAGCCAAACATAGAGACCGCTAAGCTACGTGGACCAATGGACTGTCTTGGTGCAAGGCAGCTTCTTATTTCCCTAATCAACTGACTTCAGAAGCTGCAGGTTTCCTTGGCCTGGAGGCCACTACATGCAAAGATGGCAGCCCTCTCCTGGCTACCAGCCGTTCTACCTGCCCTGCTTTGATTTGACAGAATCTCCTGCATTGTAGAGTGACTGGCTCCAGGAACTCCATCAATATAATTGTTGACATTCTATTTATTACCTGCCTTTCATGATGAGGCCCCATGGCATATCACAGCAATGTAAAATACATTTAAAACGGATTAAAACAAATTGCAATTGCAACTAAAGTGGGTCCTAAAAGTCCTTCAGAACTGCAACTCCCATCTTATGTCCCGCCCCCTTGCTGTGAACAAATAAAGAAAAAACAGCAAAAGCAAACATCAAATTTAAATGACAAATGTGATTGCGACAAATAGAAAATAAAACAGATGGGATTTTAATGAATCAATAGCAAAGCACAAGTCTTTAGTGACAGAAATATAATAATGAAACTTTTTTTAAAAAAATCCTCTTGCTCACCCCTAAATTTATATCATTATTTCATACAGCTGTTCCTTGTAAGACTGCCAAATGACCAGAAAACTGCTCTGGCCTGCTCCTGTGCCTTTAGCCATAGCTCATTCTGAAGTGATCAGCAGCTGATTGTCACCTGCAAGCTGAGCTGCTCTTAAAGGCACAGAAGCAAGATCTGGTAAAAAATAAATAAATCACAAGCTTGCTCCCGGGTCAGCATATGGTCATGCCACGCTGAAGGCAACTCCTCCTGCTTCAGGGAAGAGTGAGCTGGCCCTGAAATTCAGAGTTTAACTAAGGACAGGATTTGGTCTCTTCATTCCCCAGGCCTCACTCCAACTTGTCCCTCAGTGCCTTGTTTTGTGTGAGAGAGCCTGCAAGACTATTGCGGCATTGTGTTGTCATCCGCCCCGCCCCCCGCACTGATGTAGAGCAGAACATCTCGAGTTTCAATGTGTTATTCAGTTGCACCATTCAGAAATAAAGCTATTGACTCATAAGGGCTTTGCAAAGAGTGCTGGATGCTAAACTGGATTATGCAATTGTCTCAGCCCAGCCCTCATCACCTGTAGCAAAATGAGAAGAGGCTGCTGGAACCTATCGAGGCAGCATTTGTCTGCTCTTAGAGGCTGCGATGCCATTATATGTTGATTTTAGGCACTGTTATACTGCTTAATTATTAGAATTTCCACGCAGTGCATATATAAAATAAACCATACAGATAACAGCATAGACATAATCAAAAAGCCAAACAGAAACCCAAGACTACCTTAAAGTGCTTGTCAGAATAAGAAGGTCTTTGTCATGCTGGGCATTCAGCAAGGAGGGTGCCTGCCTAATCTCAATTGGGAAGGAGTTCCACAGGCTTGGGCCCAAAACGTGTAGTAGTGACTGGACAAGGATAGAAGGCAGTGTTTCTCAAACCTGGGTCCCTAGCTGTTATTGGACTACAACTCCTATCATCTCTGACCACTGAGCCAGTGCTTTGTTAATTAATACAGAAACATTGAAGTCACTCACGCTGCACAAAATAGGGTTGCCATATCTTGAAGAGCAAAGAAGAGGACAGCCCCAGCTGCTGCCAGCCCAAGCTGGGGAAAGGGGTGCACTGGTTCACGGCCAAACCCACGTGCCTCTTTCTCCAGCTTGGGCTGGCAGTGGCTGTGCCGTGCAGAGCAGCCCAAGTCCGAGCCGCCTGAGCCCACCCCCCCCCAACACGGACATTTCCTTTAAAATGTAAAAATCCACCCGGATGGCATGTTTGCCCCCCAAAGGAGAACATGTCTGGGTTTTCCTGGATGCACGGCAACCTTAGAAGGCATTGGTGTCCATTTGCTTCCTTAAAGCAGGAGTGGGGAACCTTCTTAAACCCAAAGCCTGCATTCTGTTCTGGGCAGCCTTTCAAGGGCTACATGCTAGTGGCAGGCAGGGCCAGGAGTGAAAGGGGGAAGTGCAATAAATGCCAATTTTGCCTTCATGCAGTATGCTGGTTTCTATATATGGTTGTCCACATCTCTCCAACCAGACAAGCAAGAGGGACCTTCAGAGTTCAAGGACAGTCCCAGCCAGGCAGGAACGCTTGGGGCGCAGAGCAGCACCAGGGAGGGCTGTGGCCTAGAGAGAAGGGGCGCTGTTGCAGACAGTTCCGAGGGCCAGATTGAGAGATCTGGAAGGCCATATTTGCTCTCCCTATCTCTGAAGTTCCCCACCTCTGCATTAGAAGATGGGAGGGAGCAGGATACCAGGAGAACAATTTCTCAGGGGCAGAAAAAGAAGGGTAGAACTGCTGCTATGCCTCCTATGAATTGGCTGAAGAGACAGCCAAGCAGCCAAGCATTGTCCCCAAGGACCTTCCAGCACTTCAGAGTAGTCCTGCTGCCTTCTAAACACATATCTAACAACATGTGTGTGCACTGAGCACTCTATAAATCATTGATTCTGTCCAGAAAGTCTTACCATTTTGGTAAGCTGATGGGAAAACATGGAACTTAGCACAATCTGCTTAATAAAGTAAGATAAAGAATGGCTGTCCATCATGTGGCAGCCCTGAGATGTTGCTGGACTTATGGCTCCCACTGGCCTTGGCCACTGGCCATACTGGCTCAGGCTGATGATGGGAGGGAGATGGTGTCCAACAACATCCCACTCGATGACTTCCATTTGGGAAAGGCTGCAACAGAGGATGAGGATAAGGGAGGGTTAATGGTAGCAGTCCATGCCCAGGAAAGGAGCTGTGTGCAGGCATCATTCCTTCACTTCCTGACATTCAGGCTGTGAGTCCCATCGCATGCAGAGGCAAAATGGCAGCACCTGTGCAAAAGAGGGAGAGAACTTGGGAAGCCCAAGTTTTGGTCAAGTACAAAAAAATAAAACCATTAAGGGGGATTCCTCAGAAACAGCCCCCAATTCAGTAGGCATTTAAAACCTGAATCTTTCAAATTCAACCTTTCTGAAAATATGTGAACAGCTATCCTTCAAAATGTGCACTTACCTGAATTTTGTGATGAAGCTTTCCAACCAACGTTTGCAAAAGTGCATATATCAGGGGAGTGTGCGTAAAAATGAAGACATTAGTGGAAATAACTAAATGCATTATTTTAGGGGCAATTGCTTGCAAAAATATGTACATTAGTCAAAATAACATATGTGTTTACTGGGAGAAATTCACACTAAAAATTTACAAAACTGCTGGAAAAGGTGGAGAACTGAATTTAAGATCGAAAAAATGAGAAGTTGAGAGAACCAAATTTGCCAGCCCTGCCATGCTCAGTAGCCAGGGCAATAAGTCCAATGGTACTTACTCCCTAGCAAGTGTGTTTTGGATTACAGCCCATACCTTTAAATTTGCCTTTATTTTGTACAGCAAGATCTGCTAATAGCCACTGGCATGGACAGTTTTAAAAAGGAGAGGAGACACATTTATGGAGGGAAGGTCTGTCATGATGGTTAAATGGAACAGCCAGGTTCAGAGGCAGCGTCCGTCTGAATATCAGGTGTTGTAAGGAGCTGCCAAAGGGAATGGAATGCCTTCAAGCTCTGCCTGTGGGTTCTCTGGAAGCCTCTGATTGGACACTGTGTGAAGCTTGCAGGGCAGCAGTTGAAGAAGGAGCAAAAAGGGTTTTCTTGTGTGTGTGTGTGTGTGTGTGTGTGTGTTTCTTTGTGGCTGATTGGCTGCTCTCCCTGTGCAAAGGTCAGAGGGGGCAGGGTTTCTGTTGAGGCAGGTGATTAGCTGTGGGAGGAGCTTATCAGAGCTTGCAGGGCAGCAGTTGAAGAAGGAGCAAAAGGGTTTTCTTGTGTGTGTGTGTGTGTGTGTGTTTCTTTGTGGCTGTTTGGCTGCTCTCACTGTGCAAATGTCAGAGGTGGCAGGGTTTCTGTTGAGTCAGGTGATTATCTGTGGGAGGAGCTTATCAGAGCTTGCAGGGCAGCGGCACACTCCTAGAGGCGCGCTCAGTTTGATCCATCTTTTAGATTTAGGAGAGCTAGTCTCAAGCGTTTGTTGGGGAGACCTAGGTTTTTTGTGGGGGAGTTATTTTCCTGTCTTCACGCTTTTTATGATGGAGGACCGCTGTAGCCACCCCCAACGACACGTTCTCAAGATGGAGGGGGGGGACAGCTGCAGTCGCCTGCGGTTCCTGCGCAATGTTTGCCATCTTGCCAAAGGTTGCAGGCAGCTTTACCTGCAGCAATTGCATGTTGATTGCCCTCTTAAAAGACAAAGTCCAGCAACTGGAGGAACGTGTAGCTACGCTCCAAAGAATTAGAGAGCTGGAGCTCTTCTTGGAAGCAACAGAGCACACCGTCTCCACCAAGGAGGAGACAGGGGACTCCCCTGAGAAGGACGCTAGTTCACCAACACAGGAGCCAGATATATGGAGAAACGTGACTCAAAGAAGTAGGAGGCCCAGGGTTCGCTCTGATTGTTTAGAAATACACAATCGCTTTGAGGTCCTCTCCCTAGCATGGAAGACGAAGAGCAGACTCCATTTGAGGATCTCTCCCTCATTACAGTCGATCAGGTATATGAAGACGAGCAGCAAAGTCAGTCCTCAGGGAATGTGCAGGCGACCTTGGAGCGGACAGCTCACGGAAGAACCCCGACCAAACCTAAGAGGAGGCGTGTAGTGGTGATAGGGGATTCCCTACTGAGGGAACAGAAGCAGTGATCTGTGGGCCTGACAAGATGTCTCGGGAAGTGTGCTGTCTCCCGGGGCTAAGATCCAAGATGTAACTGAACGACTGCAAGGAATCATAAAACCCACTGACAAATACCCCTTCCTCTTGG